CGACCGACACCTCACATTTTTCTTCAGTCGATGATACGGTATTTAGTAAAGATTGCTTACGAATCGGTTGAACGACACAGGGGAAAGTCCCGTTTTCGCAATACAGGTTATCGGCCAGGAGGAATCTTCCGCTTTCAGGAATTTGAGTGAGGATGATTTTCATTGTGATGAATTTTTGGGTGCTTGGACAGGAGAAGCCGCAAGCACTCTTACTTTTGGAGTCGCTCGGAGCAGTCGTGTGGTAGGAAGGAGACGCGATGGAGTCAGATGTGTTCATTGTCAGCCACTTTTGTAAGCGTGAGTAATTGCCTGTGGTCGGATCACTGATTATTTGTTAATATGTAATTTTGGTTCAATGATTAGGATATGAATTTTGGTTTGTTAATGGACTGTTTGCATAAAATTGGTTAAATGATCTTAGCATATAAACTTTGGTTCATGAATTGTTAAAGAGTAATTTTTTCCCCCTTGGCACTACAGCCCCAGTGGGCCTAGGCCTACCTCCATGAACATCTCCGTTCACTTCGGTTTTTCTAGCTCTTACACATTCGGTAGGACTCCTTGGGGGGGGGGGTGATCAGCTCGTCGCAAGGCCTCTACCTGTACACAAACACAGAAAAACGCACACACACAAACTAAACATCCATGCCCTGAGTGGGATTCGAACCCACAATCCCGGTTTCGAAGCGAGCGAAGACAGTACATGCCTTAAACCCCTCGGCTACCGTGACCGGCTTAGTAATTAAGTTTAGGATGTAATATTTTGTTTGTTAATTGTTGGTTAAAATTTGAAAGTTGGGTAAATGATTCACTGTCGGGATACGAAACTTGGTTTATTGTTTTTAGAGTATGAACGTGATCCATTGATTGACTGCTATGACGTAACATTTGATTCACCAGTTGCTTGTTGCAAATACCAATTTTGACTCGTCGGTTGAGTGCTACGATAGAAAATATGGTTTATTGGTGAATTAAGAGATGAAATGTGGGTCACTAATCGATGGTTAGCATACGAACATTTGGGTTATTGTTAAGGTATAAATTTTGGTCAGCGAATGCTGGTTAGAGTATGAATTTTGTTCGCTGTTGTTATATGATAACTTCGGTTTACTGATTCGGTTTGTGTTATACAGGTTTAGCAGATTATGGGTAGTCAATTTTAAGAAGTTAAAATGTGTAATAGCAGACTGTATACGTTAAAAGGATTGTATATATGTACTTGTTGATTTGCTTATATTTATTTTTGTTTTCATATGTTGTCCGGTCTATAAAACCGAAATTAACGGCCATGGGGGATTCGTTGCGCTGACCACGTGACACCCTCTATCCGCAAAAGTTGGCACTAACTTCGTCGACAAGCGGCGGTCGCTCGGTCGGTATAGTTCGCTTGCGGAATAAAATCTTCATATGTTGAGTGTTTATTGGAGTATTCGTAATAATTATGTAACTGGACGGAGTATGAATTATCCACAGATGTTTAACTGGTGGAAATTAGGGAGATATTCTAAATTTTTATGGTGGCCGTCGGATGCCACAATGAAACTGGTTGGTAGCAGCGAGATATAATAAGAATTTGGATGTCGCAATTGTGTGACACGACAAATTGGTGACAGTGTTGGGATTAGAATAAGAAATTGGGATGCCTCGTCCCCGCTTGTGCCATAATAAACTGGTCGCAGGGGTAGGGGCACAAAAACTGGTGGCCACATGGGATAGAATAAGGATTTTTGGGGGGGGGGGGGTTCCCACGGTGGATGGCGCTTGTGACACAACACTATACCTCCACTCCCCACACGTCTTCATGGCGTTTTGAGTTGAAAATTTCTCACTATCATACTCTTCTATTTTATGTTTAGACGGTAACGCAAACTCGTCGTGTGTGGTGCTGTAGTTAGTTACGTTGAAATGTCAAGAGATGGCAGCAGTAATGTCTCGGCTTCGGTCTAGCTGCACGCATTGCATAGACATGTTCTGTTGATTCGAGACAGTACAAGACTCAACAGAATGATGGGTTGATTCGGTAGCATAAATGGAAAATTTTCAGCGGGTTATTTAACGACGTTTCCAGTATGGGAAATATAGCGCCGATCATTGGATGATTAATGGATATGGAGTAGTTACTAATGTACAAAGATATTTCTTATAAAAGTTATGAGGTGTTCACAGCGTTGAAGGTCAAGTTTATGGCCTTTTAGGTTATGACACCGTGTGGTCTTGTAAGTGAATATCAAGGTTTGGCAAAAACATGATGCTTCCATCCACAGAGACGAAGTGAGTAGGTTCTGCCTCCTGTCACGAAGAATTATATGGCCCTAAAAAGGGCCGTTTTCCAGTTTACCGTAACTATTTACTTAGAAGAAACAGCAAATAATTTAAAAAATTATTGTAATGGAGTGTGATATGATTCTTACATGTTTAGGCTATAACATCGTTGATTAGAAAGGCAATTTATGCGCATTGACAGTGCACGAGTAAAAATTGTTACGAAAGTGTACAGCTGCTAATTCAGCGCCACAAAACATGTTTATGTATGTATAGAATGATAAGATAAATAAATAAGTATGACCACATCAACAGAAATTTTAAATAAAATTCAGATTGATAAAACAAAGCTGCAGAAGGCGCTTGCGCGAGATCAAAGCGCGGTGACGATGCGTACAGGCCAACTACTATACTTCTCTTGGCTAGGCATACGCAACAGCTGCCCTCTGACGGCATCACGTGAAACGCACATGTGTATTCATTTGCTTGTCATCAATCCGTGCTGACTGTGGTGGCAACACGCGCTGTGGACATTGAGACACTGCCAACAGATGACTCGCTCTTCACTTTCATTCTCGACGGCCGTATGGACACAGCGAAAACAATTTCTGCCATTACAGGGAATCGAAACCCGGCCTTCAGCACTAACCCATTCAGTATACTGACAGACGTATCACGCCTCACATAATAATAACAATATAAAGGTAAAATTTTCAGTATGCTTAATTTTATACGCACAACGCCATGGAGATTTATGGGGGAGTGGAGGTATAGCTCCACAATTCATGACTTCAGCACTAGATGGAGATGAGTGGCCAGTTTCACGCTCCGACAGCTCTATCCCCGGGGAAATTTCCCCAAGTTCCATTGGATAGAGGCTGGAAGTGCTACGACGTCATTGTCATCACGACGTGACTGTAGACAAACCCCCATTGTGACAATCCCACTGTTGCCCTCATCTCAGTCCTTTCCTGACGGAGCAGCTCATGAAGACGTAAGCTGGACTGGACCCCGTGCCGGTATCAGCCAAGTCAACGCTTTGAGAAACATCCATTGTGTTTACCAGTCGGTTTCTACGGTGCGCCTTTTGGGAGGGACCAGTCGGAGAGACGGATTTCTATATAGTGATGATGATGATGATGATAATAATAATAATAATCCCGGCTAACCTCACGTGAGATTCGTGGTGTGAGAGGTGAGCTGCAGAGCAGCTGCATCAGTCTTCTTTTTTTATTGTTAGTGGGGTGGGACTAAGTCCCTTGTACTGCGGCCACTTCTGGGCTATTGTACCAGCCCCAGATGATAGGTGAGGGTGATTGTGGAGCAATTGGTGGAATGAAGATTGGCAAGGGAAACCGAAGTACTCGGAGAAAACCTGCCCCAGCACCACTTTGTCCACCACAAATCTCACTTGACCAGACCCGGGATCGAACCCGGGCCGCCGCGATGGGAAGCCAGCGACTAACTGCTTGAGATATGGCGCGGCCATGCACCAGGCTTACTGAGTAATCAGATAGTTAGAGAGTATGAGTAGGGCCCGACCTAGAATGTGTAGGACGAATAGAATGAAATTAACCAGTTCAATATACTTCAGACGCAAACTTGTAAATACTGCAATATATTAATAATAATCTGATTTTGTGTACAAGTTTATGCCGTCTGTGCGCACCGTTGGTTAGCATTCACTCTTCTTCATCTTTGTATTGTATATCATTACATGTTTCGGCCCAGTCGGCCTTCATCAGGTGTACATGTTTCGGCCCATTCGGCCTTCATCAGATGTACATGTTTCGGCACAGTCGGCCTTCATCAGGTGTACATGTTTCGGCCCAGTCGGCCTTCATCAGGTGTACATGTTTCGGCCCATTCGGCCTTCATCAGGTGTACATGTTTTTGAGATGAAGGCATCTGCTACCCGCTGCAATGCTGTTCTGCTTTTCTTATGTAATTGCCTCGGTCTAATTGTAGGTTATGTGGTTTAACGTGCTGTTGCTATGCACGTGTTTGCCCTATCTGTAATGGAGCGTCCACATTACTCGTGCTCGTGTGACTCGCTATGCTCGCGAGTAATGTGGACGATATGACAAGTCACGAGACAAGCAAATTTTTAATTTAAAAACTATAGCCAATAAATTAAAATACGACTACAACCTATAAACACTACGAGTAAATATACGGATCCTCACGCGCCGAAGCCTGGCGAGCAACTGAAGTAGTGTGGACGAAGATTTACGGGCACAAGTAAAAGCCAGACGAGTTTCCCGACGACCACGAGCACGAGTAATGTGGATGCGCCTTTATATGTGACTGGTTATATTAGAATTCTTTTTTAATTTTTGTGTATTCAGTCTCTGAATATCTCATGTCACGGTTTTGTTGGTTTATCGGTTTGTATTTGGTTTGGCGTGTTGCTGTCCTGAAAAACACCTTCAGCTCCAACGAAAATATTCACTACAGCCACACGCCGAACCAAAGATAAATTAACAAAAGAGTAAGTAACATCACATATGTAGAGCCTGAATATACATAAAAATATACCTTAAAATAAAATTCTAATATAACCAATCACGTATTACAGATCCATTCATTCTTTTATTGAATGGCATTTGTGACAGATTCTCTTTTGTCTGTAAGTTGCGTCTGAAACAGAAATATCCTGTGAAACCGAACAGTCAATTGCCGAGTATTTAAAAATAGAATGGCGTACGGAGTGATGGATTTGGACTGGGTCGGGAAGGCTGGCCAGGTAGGCCATTGTGTTGAGCCTGGTACAAGGAGCCAGACAGAAAATAGATCTGTAGCCGTTAACTACAATTTATTCCATTGCTGCCGGGATAAAAGGCATGGAGTGAACGTCCCAACTTTGACTCCAGGCAAGTGTATTAATTTTTAAGTTATCGATTTCGTAATAAAAATTGTGTTTGAATCAGAGAGTGCTGGTTTTGTGGTAATCTACGTTAGATGTTATTGGATTTAGGTTTTCACATCGGTGACTCCGAAGAGTATTGTTTTCTGGGATGTGATGTCATGTACTTCCAGCGATGTTTCGGAAGAATATATTCAGAAAGACTTTGCCGCTTGTTAATTTATGGTTTAATCTTTGCATTATTGTTTTATGTTCAATATGGAGAGAGTTGGGTTGTGACGATAAAGCTTAAAAGATTGCAATGGGCTGGGCATGTACAGAGAATGGATAAGGAGCGTATTCCAAAGAAAATACTATACAGTACAATAGGTGGTAGGAGACGTGCGGGTAAACCAAGAACTAGATGGATTGATGCGGTGGAAGAAGATGCAAAGAAGTTAATGGGCGTAAGGAACTGGAAGAGAGCAGCGCAGGAGAGAGAGGAATGGAGGGGCTTGATAAGGGAGGCCAAGGCCCGACATCGGACTGTTGCGCCATAGAAGAAGAAGAAGAAGAAGAAGAAGAAGAGGGTTGTCTGTAACGTAGACAAAATTCTACCAGACTATACGGCGTTATATCCAAGATAGAGTACTTTTACATTAGATACCGACTAGGGTCAGTGTCTTCTTCAGATTCTAGTTTATAAGCATAACACCCACAGGACTGCACTGATATTTATTTTTATATGAACTCATTGGTGATCAATAAATTATTCCTCTGATGATAAAAGTGATTGCTAGGTCACCGTTAATTTGCCTTTAAAAATAATATCAGGTATGAGTCCTGAGAAGAATGCAAAATTAAATTTTATTAAAAGGTTCAGTCCATGTGCTGAGGTTAGTAAAAATATAAAATACTTAAATATATAATTTAGTTTTGCATTTATTGTACAAAATTTCGATTATTAAAAATTAAAATTGCGTTTAATTTCCCACGTTGTTAATAACGGGCGCATAACCCATTGGAAACCTTATAGTTTCGTAGAATTTTCCTTACATTTCATAGGAAGGCACTGTCTTACATTTTCTTTATCAAAGATTAAGAAAATCAAGCAATTAGCTACAACCAAGTAGCAGGCAGAGTGTGTGCTGGGTAATAGACTGTCAACCCTGAAGATCAAAGCAATATGTTCCTCCGAAACATCAGTGCCTGTACAATGCTACATGAGTCTCATCCAAGAATAACTTATAGTCGGAAGGTCTTCGGTTCGAATCTCGGCCAGGGCACCGTTTAGCCCGATGTTCTTCTTGAGTTTCCACAGTCCCTCCAAATGAATGCAGACATAACATCTCAGATTAGGCCCCGACCACTTCATTCACAACTCAGTAATTAACCCATCATTCGATACGTCCTTAAATTAGCTTAATGTATTGAACACCACACCATGAAGACGAATGAGGAGCGGAGGTATGGCTCCACGAACTCCAGTATGGTCTCCAGTATTAACCGGACAGAAGGTTGGGTGGACTGGTCCGTATACCGTACAGCAGATCTTCAAATGCTGGGAATCGAACCATTATCCCTCCTTCTTCCAGCCCATACCCTAGTCACTATACCGAATGAGCTACCGAGGCTCTCATTAGGTACATAAATGAATACCATCACTTCATGATGTTATTTTGTGTCTCTTCTTCCTTCCTTAAATTCTTTCTTTTTTTCTCTCTCTTTATCTGTCCTTCCTTCGTCCTTAGTTTTGCGCACTGAATCCTGTGACCCTGTTGCATAGCTACAAAGGCAGATTATATTTAAAACATCATAGAGAAAACGTGTAAGCAAATGCGATTCCAGTTCTAATTTATTGCCAATAGAATCAGCAGTTGCCATAAACATGGATCTTAATGATATGAAGTTGCAAAGAGCACAATTTTAGCTCTCTTCCGGTGACTTCATGTAAACTGACGTTCCTGATTCGTTTCATGGGTCCCGTGACGGGACTTCAAACAGAGGAAGATTGATGTCACACCTCTCTGAAACATGTATTTTCTTTTTATTTCTTAGTTTCTTTAATGACGCTTCTTCAACCAGCCGTGTTATACATCGAGTAGTAAAGTAAAGCGTAGTGGTCTGCCAGTCTGGAGGTGCTCTGTTCGAATCTCGGTAAAGACAAATGTCATGATAATATACCGAATAGGCTACGACCACTTCCATCCAAATCATTCCCAAGTCACAATTCATTTATCATGTTACAACTAATCTAGCAACCAAGAATATCATAAAGCAAAACTACGAAATGTTCTGTCACATGTCCGGGGTTCCGTGACTAATAATAATGGGTTATACGTTGGATGATTTGGTTTATTGACATTTCTATTACAATTACAATCAATTCTAACAGCTGAAAATCAATGATTGTCTAAGACTCGCTCCATTCCTTACTGGACGAGTGTCTTCTCTTCCACTGTGACGAAGGACGAACGAAGAACCCCATGCGACTCGCCTCTCCAGGACTGGGCTAACTTCGAGGCGAACCGAATATACGTCACAGTCTCCAACAGTTCGTCTGTTGCTGCGTCTATTCATGGACGCCTTTGCCTGAATTCAGTCTCAATTCTCAGTATTTAGAGACCGCCTCTGTGGCCTACTGATCGGAGTTCCTGGCTACAGATCCACAGGTCCGGGTTCGATTCCAGGCTATGCCAGATCCTTTTTGAGAAGTAGTGGGTCTGGAACGGGGTCCACTCAGTCTCATGAGGATAACTGAGGAGCAATTTTAAAGAAGTAGCGGCTCCGGTCTAGAAAACCGAAATTAACGGCCGTGGGGATCCGTTGCGTTGACACTCTACACCCTCTATCCGCAAAAGTTGGCACTAACTTCGCCGACAAGCGGCGGTCGCTCGGTCGGTATAGTTCGCTTGCGGACTCAAGCAAACGAGTTTAGTTTTTTTAAGTGCGTAGATCAGCCGCTATGTATTTTTCTCTGGGTTATTTAATGACGCTTTCTCTATCTAAATTCTCTAGAATCTCTTGATAGAATGATTAATAAAGGATAAAATAAAAAGCATTTGGAAACAAGCAGTTATAGCCTAATCAAAGTAAAATCCCGAAATTTGCCTGAAATCTCAGAGAAGAACACAAAATACCTCATTCAGGATAGCCGGTGTCTCTGCCGAGATTCGAACCGATCGCAACCAGAATATAACTGAAAGAGAGTGTAACTGTTAACGCTTTATAATTCGTTGTTGTGGTAACCAGAAATTGCATATTAATAACGGCAATTGCCACGGACAGAAAAGGCTTTCAAGTAAAGATAACGCTATCCCTTAAGAGACCGTGGAGGCCCATAGGGTTATGAGACGTCGAGGCCCCCACATTTTCTCATAGATGGCGGTGAGGTTGTCAGCCTTACGCGCCGGCTGCCGTTTACCCCCAGGAAGATTCCTGGTACTCATTTCTGTTAGAGGCTGAGTCTACCCTAGGGCCATAGTGCGGCTTGTAGCATACTGCCTCAACCAACTACGCTGTAGGGCCAATAGTTGAATACAATAGGAAAATAGAATGTTAAAGGGAAGAGGGGCACGAGGAGTAAAAAAGGAGAAATGGAGAAAAGGAAAACACGGTAGAACAAGAAAAAGAGAAGAATATGATTAAAAAGGAAATATCTCCATGTCTGTAATGTTTCTATAATTCTGAAATATCGCAAATGCTTTCTAGTGTTGATTTGATTCTAAAAGATGAAAGTTTTACACTTGAGCTGGCAACTGAGTGTAGCAGTTGCAATTCCACTGCAAAGGCTGTACGTGTGGAAAGTTGCCAGTCCCACTGTCACGACAGCGAGGCCTGTCCCAGACATTTTGGCTCATTACGCTGGTCGAAAAAAAAAATATATGTATATAATGCTTCTCACTACGTGACTAGGTCCTTGCTTCGAGAGCACCGGGTCGTTCAGTGCCAGGATCGCGGGTAATTTCGTCCTTACGTATTTGGGAATACAGGCGGGTGTCATGGCAATAGTTAATTCAGAATAATAGCCTTACTTTCAGGAAAATAACCTTGTATTTTATACAGAAAATAATTAAATGCTTCTATATATACAAAAAGAAATGTGATGATGATGTCAGAGCTCATAAATTCTGCAAATTTCGAGTTGTAATATCAACTAATTATCGGGCGTTAATAGTTAGCTTGATATCAAACTATAAGCAAGTAACTAACCTCTGTTTTAGTGTATCGTGTCTATTCTGTGGAATGAATGCTATATAAATGAAAATGTTTTTACGATTGGCTATTTATGCGTGTTGTTCGTGGGAATAGGGCGTTAAACGTCGATCTCGACCTCTCATTTGATAATATGTTGTAATAGAAGGAAAACGGGGGGAAAGCAGAGGAAGTTAAGCGTATGATGGCGGAAGCAACGAATGACGAGACTTCTACCTCACTGCTCAACGAGTCTTACATGAATGAGTCGGTATAGCAGCGGGTTACGGACAGGATGGCTGGGATTCGACTCCCGGCAGGAGTAAGATTTTTCTCTTCTCCACATCGTTGAGAACAGCCGTGGGGTCCATCCAGCTTCCTATATAATGAGTACCGGGGATCTTACCCCGAGCGTAAAGTGGCCGGGGCTTGAAGCTGACCACTCATTTCCATATAATGCCGATATCAAGATTGGTGGAATTGTATCTCCACTCTCCCATGACTCTACATAACTAATTAAGCACAGGGACAGAGAGACAAGTGGAGGGCCCTTGTGTACACGGTAATGTAAATTCGGGATTCCATAAATTACAGGGAATTTCTTATTCAGCTTTACGGTTATCAGTTCTTCAAGAGGGGCTTCGTTCCAATCCAGTGAGGGAAGTTCTCAATTCATAAACTGAGATATCTCATTCAGTGAAGTGGCTTGTTTAGGTGTGAGAGGACGGGGTTGGATTCCCAACGGAAGACTGGAGTCTTAGTGTCTTTCTGAAGTTCACAGAGAATGTGGGACCCACCCGGCACTCCTCTCGATGGGTAATGAGGAACAAAGCGCTCAGAACGTGAAGATGAACGCTAACCTCCATCTTGTGCCCACCCTCATCAACAGCCATGCTGTGGTGCTTTGGGTACATCGCTTCACATATTCAGCGATGTAAACAAGAGCTCCAAAAAATGTAACCGCAAATTAGGATAATTAAATGGACATAACTCAGAAGTTAAATGTTACCTCATGGTCCCAAAATATTCCACCGGCTGGCTCTGCTAATATCTATAGAATTTACATATGTGTATTGGTGGGTTGGTGATGGCTGAACGAGTCGAAACAGCTCAGTTGGTAGAAAGATATTTATATCATTCCACTCTTCATTCTGGTCCACTCCACGCTCTCCTCTCCTCTTCTCTTCCCTTCTCTTCTCCTCTCTTCATCAGAATATCCTTCCCCTGTGCTGCCACAGTAAATTATGTAACATTTCAGAGTACGATGGTAGCTGAAACGTGTGCCGTCTGCACGCAACCCGCCAAACAGCGGTGTGGTGGGTGTCACGTGACGTACTATTGTTGTCGAGATCATCAGAGATTGGACTGGAAAGGACACCGCAGCCAATGTAAACCTTTCAAGGTAAGTTCCACGTGCAACTGCACTGTGTGGGCATGGCAACCGCGCTCCACTGTACGAAGTCCCTTCCCATCGTCATGCTGAAAGTTTCTATATTCATTGACAATTATATGGTTGTACGGCCGGGGTTCGATTCCCGGCAAGAGCGAGAAATTTTCTCGACTACAGATCTTCTCTGTGGCGCACATAGTCTCCTATGCAATGTGAAAACGGGGATTTATTCCCCGGAGTAAAGCGGTCGGGGCGTGAAGCTGACCACTCACCTCGATCTATTGTCGAAGTCAAGAATACTGTAACTATACATACACCTCATTACGTCCTCATGACGTGGTGTTTAATTAATTAATTAATTAAGCATAAGTACTAACTTCTTATTAGATGTTTTGGCATGAAAGTTATTCTTACTGATGTTTTATGCTGTGTTCTTTTGTGGGCTATTTTGGGACGCTTTTGGTAACTAGGCTGTAGGATGAAAGATGAATGACAAGTTAATGATTCGGGACACTGTGGGAAAGAGAAGGAAGTTTTGCCTCTGCCGGTCATCGAACCTCGATTCCACGGCCGTCCAGCCCGCAGACCCTTCGCTATATTGGGATTTGCTCTAACTGAAAATACATTGCCTCTGTGAAGAAATGTAGAAAAGAACATAGTGTGTTGGATAGGTTGCGGAGAACAAGGCGCTGGGCCGGCACTTGATTGCGACGCGGGACCTCAAGGTTGGGGAGGTTATCCTAACGGAGCAGCCTCTAGTGGCCGGACCCTCACAAGTGACCCCGCCTATCTGCCTGGGATGCTACAAGCTACTCACAGAGCAGAGCGCACGCCCGTGTTGTGAATGTGGCTGGCCGGTGTGCAGCGAGAAATGTGCACGCGCACCTGCACACCGCGCGGAATGTGACATTACCAAGATGAAGAAGGGATCAAAGGTATAAGCAAATATAGAGTGAGGCACACGCCAAATTGCGAACGCCTTCTTAGATATGCAACTTCTCTAACGTATATATTGCGCGTGTAGCCTCTTGTAATTAATCTCACTCTCCAGTAACTAGCAGAAGGACTCAGGGGCGCCCCTGCCAGTGTCAATGTGGTGCCAAACCAGTAGATCCCAGAGTGACTAGCCCATAGCCAATCAAATTACTGTAATCTCGCGTTTTATAACTTGTATAAATGTTCTCGTTTGTGGCCTATTCAACAACGATGTCATTATCTAGACTATAACTCAATGCAGCTGAGTCCTTCTTGAGAAGCTGACAGTCGCTCAGATGTTCAAGAATTTCTCAAAATTTTACTGGATTCACATGAGCCCACCACTGGTCTCTATCGTGAGCCAGAACAATCAAGTTCATACTCTCATATTATATCTCTAAGATAAAAGTGTAATATTCTTCCATCTATGTCTACGTCTTCCTGATGGTCTATTTCCTTCTAGCTTTTCCAAGAAAATTCTATATGCATTCTTATTCTCCCCCATGCATGCTACATACCCTGCAAGTCATCCCCATAGATTGTATCTGTATCCAGACTATACTGAGTCAAAAGTTACAAACGATTGATTATTGTAGAATTAGATAGGATTCCGAAGGAAGCGGTCGTGACCTATTCGAGGGAATAACCAGGCAATTGCCTGAAGGGACTGAGGGAAACTATGAACAACTCCAGTCAGGACAGTAGTGCCTCAGCCCAGATTCTAACCGAGCACCTCCCAAATACGAGCCTTACCGCTGTGCCAATTCGCTAAGCGACAGCGTATAATATGGTAGATAAACTAGTGTTTTGGAGGCATTTGCTGTCTACATCTTCAGGGAACAATATGGAGGCAATATGTTCCTTTTGATAACCAACGCCATAGGGACCTAATATGTTAAGACACCCTGTAATTTTACTAGCTAATTTATCGGGGCTAATATTTTGGATATAATGACGGCCGGTATTTGAAACGTGAGTTTTTACTGTCCCCCTTGTTAAGTGTGTGTGAAGCAGTATAGCCGCTCTCTATATGTCAAGCTGGCATGGTGCTTTCTTTTTAAATTCGCTTAGTGAGGGTGGAGTCCAACTGGGTCCACTCGGCTCGGCGGCCACTGATTGGCCTGTTGTAGCCTGCCCTGGGTGATTATAATGACGGAGAATTTGGTGGAATGAAGATTGACAGGGGAAACCGAAGTACTCGGAGAGAACTCTCCCCAGCGCCACTTTGTCCACCACAAATCCCACTTGACCAGACCCGGGATCGAACCCGGGCCGCCGCGGTGGGAAGCCAGCGCGGACTTGGCATGATTCTTAATTAAGCACAGCGGCAAATTTACATTTTATCCTCATCTGGAAATAAATTTGAGAGAGCGCAGGTGAACGCTGCTGAAATTTGTATAACAAAGGATTACACTTCCCTTTGAATTCTAGGTATCGGGTACCCCACTAGTAGATCCACATGAAAAATCTGTCTGATAATACTCTGATATTTTAGCAGTGATCTATCAAATACATAGGTCATTTATAAGTTTCTTTGCATTCTTTACTGAGGTTACAGTACGGAATTTCCTGCAGACGCATCCAATTTACCAGTGTGTGATGGCTCTCCGTTGTCTGCACCTCCGAGACTCGAACCCGGTAATGTGGGAGCGACTACTGTCACTGGAGTCGCACTGTGAGGAACGCAAAAAGACGCAGCGCTACGAGGCAGATCGCACCACTATCGCAGAATTCGTGCGCCGCTTCTTCTGTCTGCAGGACTTTGATGAAGAAGAGATCCTACGAATATGTGGAATTATACAGGTTAGGGCCATGTATACCGGGTGCTCCAAGGGTTCACTAGAATCAGGAATCACACTAAATTTACAAAACCGATTATCTAAGCAAATATATAATTAATGAACTGATCCAAAACGCCAATAATTGAACAGCCAATTAAAATAACCGAGGCTGCGCCATAGTTCAAGCGGTTATTCGCTGGCTTTCCACCGCAGCGGCCCGGGTTCGATCCAGTGTCTGGTGAAGTGAGATTTGTGGTGGATAAAGTGGCATTAGGGCAGGGTTTTCTCCAAGTACTTTGGTTTTCCTTGCCTATCTTCATTCCACCAAATTCTCCATCATCATAATCACCCGGAGCAGGTTATAGTAGACCAATCAGTGGTCGCTGTGCCAAGTGAACCCAGTTGGACTTACCCCCAACTAAGCAATTTAAAAAAAAATTAAAATACCAACCGATAACGAATTTAATAACTAACAGTCTTACAAATTGTCCGAATAAATAGATAACTCATTAATTAACATAATTACTGAGCTAACCAACCGACAAAACCTACTTCTAGTCATACAATTTGTTCATCTTACGAGATAAGTGGTTTTCGTGCAGATGAATACCAAAATCGAGGTTTCTGGATGAGACACCGTATGCATTGATTTATTATTCAATCATTAAATCGAAATACAATACACCCAGAAACATTTTCTTCTGCATACAATTCTTACCTATAAAAGCAAAATTCGTCAAAAAACAACAGATTTCAACAAAGTAGTTTGTAAAATACTTCAATGCCAAACATACAAACCTTGTAATCTCCATGTACACTATGACCCTAACCTCCCAGTGTCATTTAATGCAGCCATCTTCCGTTCGTACTGCTAACACTAACTTCTCATGTATTCATAAATGGATCTACAGCCTTCTATTGGGGCCTGGTGGCTATTTCAATTTCGTAATCCTATACACAGTTGGTAGGATTCCATGGATGGGGGATCAGTCCATCGCAATACTGCAGCCTACAGACAGAATAAACACAAACGGACAATCATACCACGAGTGGGATTCAAACCCACGACCCCAGTGTAAAGATATTTCACGCCCTAGACAGCGCGGGCACTGTGATCGACAATATCATCTTCTACCGGTAACAAACAGCAAGCGTATCCTGCCATCTTCTGACCGTATTCGTAACTATTTGCTAACATATGTATGGGCAAAGAATGACAGTACAAAAAAATAACAACTTATTCGGTTCAAGTTTTTTCGCATTTTAATACCCATCCTTAGGTTTCCAGTTTCTGCGCCAAAATTCTGTGGCATGTTCTTGTTTCAGGTGAATGGGCATGAGGTGCCGGTGACGGACCCCCCACATGTAGCGGTGTATGACGAGGCGTCTTTACTGGAACACAGTTGCCGACCGAACTGCGCCAAGAGCTTCAGTCCTGACGGCGGTTTGATCATTCATACGGTGGAGCCCGTTCTCAAGGGCCAGCACCTGTCCATCTGCTACACGGATGCATTGTGGGGAACCGCAAACAGGCGCCACCACCTCGCAGAGACCAAGTTCTTCTGGTGCAGCTGTGTTCGATGTGCTGACCCAACAGAGTTCGGAACCTACTTCAGCGCAATTCGATGTCTCAACAAGTACGTAATTACCTCTAGTGATTGTCGGTGAACCAGCAGTTCATAATTTGAGGTATAAATCCATTGCTATGCTACGGCTCGGTAAACACGTACCTGCAGAAGCGTACCGCGGAGAAATAAGACGTCCACTTCTAAGCAACGGAGCGGTAACCACCCATATGAATTGGTGAGAGATGATGTGTTCAGCGGGGTCGGCCCCGAGGCTATATAACGCGGAATTCCTAGTGAGCAGTCAGAAAGAATGAAAATTTAAGGAGTATAAAGGAGTACAACGGAGTTTACCCCTTGTGGAGGCGGGGTCGAATACCTCCATCGTGACCCTGCGAGTCGTAGGAGGCGACGAAAAGGGAAGTCTCAAATCTGAGACAGTAAAATATAGTCGCGAGTCCCAAGGGACTCGGATATGAGAAAGACTGCGCTGGCAAGGGCCGGCAACATATAAAAAAGATAGACCCGTCCTTTCGTCAGAGAGGGCGCCCCACAGAAACAATACCGTAACTGTCAAAAGGCAATAATTAATATCTGATCATAAGCCCCAGATGGGGCTCGACACCAAGATTTACTGACTGACTGACCGTCAGTCGCAATGTGACTTTGACTTTGATTTCACAACGGAGTTAGCTTGCGAAAAGAAGACTTTGTGTGTGTTGTAGTTACAGTGAGACTGTTAGAAATCCGTTGCCAGGATACGTCTAGTGAAGGCTGAGAAGATTTAGCGTATCCTAGTGATTTGTGAATTGGGTAGATTAGCGGTAGCTCTATAATAGATTGTGATTAAGAGAGTCTGTAAAAGAAGGTGTTAATAAATCCAGTCATCCAATACAGAACCCCTTGTTTTTGGTCACCGAGCCACGTGACTATATATTTGGTAAACCTTAGGGGGGCCCTTGCATTCTTTATTTGCAAAACTGCTGTCTCTAAGTCTATACATCCAATCCCCCATACGTCTTCATGGCGTAGTGCTTAATTAGCTGAGCACAGGGACAGCTCTACCTTATACTCTCGCTAATTTCCACCTCTTTAATATTTTTTCGTATTCCTATTCCTCGTGTCTTCATATTTTTTTCTCGTTCTATTAATATTTTCTGCTTCTCACTCCAAAAATGGCAAATTATTACAGGCGAAAGACTAGCGGGTGTTCGCCAACTTCACGGTTTTCACTGAATCTGGTGATGTTTCAGGCTATGTGAGGGTTACCTGCTGCCTGAAAAAAGCCTTCTGGAAGAGTTTGATGCGGAGAGCGTCAGTTGGCAATGCAACCGATGTTCAGCGTCAGAGCCCTCGGGCAGGGTGTTTGCCATCCTGGAGCGAGTTGGCGTGGCATTGAGCAGGATGCAGAAGGGAGACCCGGAGGTGTGTAAGCGCTTTCTAGAAGAGTACGCTTCGGAGCTACACCCGAACCACTACTATCTTACGGATGTGAGAATAGCGCTTGCGCAGCTGCACGGGCAGACAGGCGACACAGGCCTGCCTGGCGTGTCGGATCACGACCTCAGCGAGAAGATCTCCCTCTGCCGGAAAGTTCTGGCACTCATCAATGCGCTAGTTCCCGGTAAATTTCAGTTCCTCAGCTTGTACATTAGGTACACATCCTTGAGAATTCATAATTCACTAATTCACAGACAAACTATCATATATTATTAAAGACTTTAAAGGATTCTGACACTGGTGTATGCTATACAGAACTACAATCTTATTTTGGACAATATCCATTGTCTGGTATATAGAAGACAGAAAACCACAACGTTTCGGAGACTGGGTCTGTCTTCGTCCTCAGGTGGATGGGGCAGATCCAGTCTCCGAAACGTTGTGGTTTTTTTGTCTTCTATATACCAGACGATGGATAGAGTCCAAAATAAGCCTAATAGTTTTGTACATGCATTATTATATTTAAGCATCCTGTAGTATTTATATATATTTTACGTAAAATATATTCAGTCCTCAATGCAACTATTTTCACTTTTATTTCTCCTCCTTATGACATGTTTCGGCCTCAAACAGCCATCATCAGGTGTTTGTCTACATCAAAACTCCGCACTATATAAAATGTTCACACACACACACAAGAATTAGCAGTAACACAATAAGCAGATGCAAGGAACAAGATGCAAATAGGGACAAATGATAACACAAAGAAAGGGCTTACGAACAGACGCAACACACGAACACCAAGCCGCAACATAGAACTACGTACATCATTTGGACAATTGGACGAAGCCCCTAATAGAGGTGCAAGAATTATATAATTTTAAGTAATTTTAAAAATTTTGAAATCAAAATTAAATTAGACGGAAAGTGATATCACTCAATGCAAATAAATATCGAGTGTACATCAAGTAAATTAAATAAGAAATATCACATTTGCAAGTGTATAAATAAGTGAATAGTTCTGGCGTAGACAAAACACCTGAAGACAGCCGTTTGAGGACGACAAATGACTTATGGAGGAGAAATAAACATGAAAAATTTGCAACTAGCGGTGAATATATTGCGCGTGGAAGCCATCATACATTGTTTCTGAAATATTTCTGAGTTTGCGTCATCATCAGCTTGTGACATAGACCATTAGGTCATCATTAAGAAATTAATAGATCTTATTTCAAATATCCAGTATGAAGAAAAATCAGTTTAAAGAGATTCTTTTTTCGCTTAGTGGGGGGGTTGAGTCCAGTTGGGTCCACTCGACACGGCGGCCGCTGATTGGCCTATTGTAGCCTGTCCCGGGTGATTATGATGATGGAGAATTTGGTGGAGTGAAGATTGGCAGGGGAAACCGAAGTACTCGGAGAAAACCCGCTCCAGCGTCACATTGTCCGCAACAAATCCCACTTAACCAGACCCGGGATCTCGGAATACCCTTGGTGGGAAGCCAGCAACTAACCACTTGAACTATGGCGCGGCCCTAATGAGATGTTACTGAGTACATAGGATTTTCTTCTGTAAGGTTGCCACATACCAGCAAAATGTTTTCGAAAAAATTTATTTTTATTGGGTTTCTCAGGGCAGTGGTAATGAAGAATTTTGTCTCGTGGGATATTACACCGTGTAGTCCGCTTAAAATAAACCGACGTTTCAGATATGACGTGCTTCCCGAGATGTCGGTTGACTTCTAATGGGCTTCACGGTTTTATGTCTCACAAGACAGAAGTCTTTAATTCCATTATTTTTAGTTTTATTTGTGAATTTTCTAGTAATAAATGGGTTTCTCTGGAATCAGCCTGTAACAAATATGGCTCATGCAATTAATGCTTTCAGTTTACTTTTATTACACCAGAATGGTTTCTATTGTTTGTTGATTGTAACGCGACTAATTTCACTTTTGAGGGGAACACAGGATACGAGGCGTACTGATGTTTGAACTACATGCAGCTGTAGCCGAGGAGGCTAGGAGGGCTTCGAACCAGGGTCAGTTGGACCCCATCGCTCTGCGGGACAGTCTGCTCGTAAGTTCCATGTTCATTAATTATTCATTACACAAAATGAACTCTGAGCAACATATCAGCTGATAGCTTGCACCCATTTTGATTTCATTGCGCAGACTCAGTGCTACTACCGCACTCCAAATCAGCTGACTTACTCGTGGATATGCGCACACCGGCCCAGTTGGTAGCTAGAAGCCACATTGGCTAATTAACTAACTAGTTCACTATTTTTTTTATTGCTAGTGGGGTGGGACTAAGTCCCTTGTACTGCGGTAACTTCTAGCCTATTGTACTAGCCCCAGATGATAGGTGAGGGTGATTGTGTAGCAATTGGTGGAATGACGATTGGCAGGGGAAACAGAAGTACTCGGAGAAAACCTGCCCCAGTTTAGAGAGAGGTTGATCCTGATTAGAAACATATCGCTCTAGTTGAGGGTCGAATGGCAAGCCAAGCAAGGAACTAGCAGAAACAGATGAAATGCTAAACTTCTTGAGTAGCTTACATTTCGACCCTGAAGATAGAGGCGATATGTTCCTATGAAACTTTGGAATCTCTAAGAATCTATAAGGCGTTAAAATCCAGACGACTGCACTCTTCACTATACTTGATGTGCTCATCTTGACACTGGAAAACGTCACAGTCTGATTAAGAAAATACCGGAAGTCATGTGATATAATTGGCGGAAAGTAATATTCGTTCTGATATATGATCTTCATGAATAATGTTCTGTGTTGCTTATTCGTGGCATACCTAACCGTATCAACTGCTCAACCTGACAGAGGTATTGTGTTGGACCTGCTAGAGGCATATTTAGAATAGACGATATTTCGAGCTTTGGCATTTCTCCCGTCTTCATCAACTTACCCTTCTATCTCAAAGAGATCCGAGGTTTTAATAGCTGTAAATGTTAAGGTTTCTGCCTTCTGGATGTTGTTTGTTGGTTATTTAACGATGCTTCCACTATCTAGACTGTATAATGTCCGATGGTATAATGGCTGATGAGTTAGAAAGAATCTGAAACTAAGTGGTCGTAACCTAATCGAGGTACTGTCCCGACATTTTCTTAGAAACACAGAGGAAAACCACGAAACAATAAGTAAGGACAAATAATGTCCCAACTGAGATTCGAAACAGGCCATTCAAAAATATAATAGTGGAGAGTTATCTCTAGACTATCCTGCTGGGATATGACACCGTATAATTTGGCTGATACACTTCAGTTTTATAGTGTGTAGAGCCGTTTCTAGGTGACGGCTTGGTAAAACGTTCCCGAGGCAATAGGTACGCATGGAACTCTTGGGAAATGGTGTTTTCGACTAGGTCCGTGCAGGGGTTATAAGCAAGACAATTTAAGCAAGAATAGTTCAATTGAAAGGAAGTCGTCGTTCAGATAGGACTTGAGTCCGGAAGCAGATGAACAGCCATGCTTAGAAGCCGTTACCAGGCAATTACTAGTGATGACACTGCGAACTTGAAAAGAGCGTAATTTTGTAAAGTGTGGAAATAGCGATAATGCTAGATATTTGTAGTTACGACCTGTAAGTAATCAATAAATCCAATTCCAATCCAAAACCCCATCTGTAGTCACACATACTGCGTGACAATATCATACACCAAACTTCTGCGGGCCTGGATAGCCGAAACGGTGACTGGTTACATGTAATTTGGTTGAGTTTGGCGGCTACAAGCCGGAAGGTCACGTTTCGATTGCCAATTAGGTCATTGGATTTTTCGATTGACCTAATCCTTCCAGCAGCACTGTATCCCTGGGGCCGACTCAGCCTCTAACAGAAATAAGTACTAGAAATATTCCTGGGGGTAAATGGTGGCCGACCGGCGCGTAAGGCTGACAATCTCATCGCCATCTCTGGGTTGATTTTCTAGAAAATGTGGGAGCCTCGACGTCCCAGAACCCTATGGGCCTCCACGGCCTGTTACAGAGATAGCTTTGCCTTTTTATACAAGATCTTTTCAATGTGGAACCCCATTTTAAACGTTTCCCTTCTAAGTCTACTAAAACTACTGTATTAGAACTTCCGTACATATTACAATTGTCTACACATCCCGTACAAGTAGTTAGTGATACTTCGTAGAGCAACATTGACATATGTCAACTTTCATCTTCAGAAGGCTAAGGCTACTTTGCCATGAGCCTCTGTGGCGCACCTTAGCGGACAACTGATCATTTCGGCGGCTGTGTGGAAACAGATCAATTTGAATCAATGGTTCACTAAGACCGCGGACACGAACACTCGTGGAAAAGGAGTCTAACAGGACATTGTACCATCAAGGACTATATTTACGGAGACGTTGGGCTTCTATCAAAAGCGTCATATTATTGCGATGTTTTGTTGACGCAGGAATCCAAGAGGCTGCTGATGGAAGCATCCTTGCTTCTGCGCCACGAGCCAGAAACACTTCCGGAAGGAAAGATCGCGCTGCAGGCCAGGAGAAACTTGGCAGATATGAACCAACTGCTGCAAAATATCCACGCTTCCATCGGAGATATGCCACTTTAGCGCAAACTTCGCAGTTCCACAAGAAGTACGGCCTGGACCCAGCGGGATGCACGCCTACATCATATTCGGGAGGTCCTGGGTTCACGGCCCCTAGACGGGCTATCCCGATTGTAATTTTCGTGGTTTAGCTCAGTACCTTCAGGCAAATGCTCAAACAGTACCTAGATTTGACCGCAAATGCTTGCTTCCTAATCCTTTCAACCTCACCACTCACCCGTCACCTGACCGTTCGACGGTATACAGATGTCCGATGACTTTTATGTCATATACTCAGGTTGTGATTCCTGAAGTACATAGCTTAAATACTAACAGCGTCATAATATATATACCTCGCACAAAATTGATTGAATTCAGGCAAAAGGTCCAGTTTTCGAATTCGGGTTTCAGATTCTTATAGAGGGTCCATGAGAATTTTTGAGATATGTCGCTGTGTACTCACTCACTCATGGAGCTGAGCCCTTCTGGAGGAGTCGCCAATTCTGAAGCTACTTAAGAATGCCCCAGCATTTTATGGAACCCGAAGGTTCATTACCCTGTTTACAAGAGCCCTCCACTGGTCCCTATCCTGAGCCAGATCAGTCCAATCAATACAATCCAATCCTATCTCTCTAAGATCCATTTTAATATTGTTCACCCACCTACGCCTTGGTCTTCCCAGTGGTCTCTTTCCTTCTGGCTTTCCCACCAATATCCTATATGCATTCCTCGTCTCCCCCATTCGTGCTACATGCCCTGCTGACCTCATTCTCTTTGACTTGATCATTCTAATTATACTTGGAGAAGAATATAAGTTATGAAGCTCCTCATTATGCTCCTATCTCTTCGGTCCAATTATGTTCTTCAACACCCTGTTCTCAAACACCCTCAGTATATGTTCCTCCCTTAATGTCAGAGACCAAGTTTCACACCCATACAGAACAGCAGGCAAAATTATAGTTCTGTATATCCTAATTTTTATGTTTTTGGAGAGCAGACAAGTAGATAAAAGGTTCTGGATTGAATATTTCGAAATACTTGTTCTAGTCTAGCCCCAAACATATTAACATTAAAAACATAATACCTGCCGTAAACCTGAGGGCATAACAATAGGCATATAGTGCCCCCATCTTCAGGGTCGAGAAGCATGCCGAGAAAGAAGCAGACAGAGTACTTGCTCAGCTTCCTCTTCGACCCTGAAAATGGAGGAAATACGCTCCCCCCGAAAAGCTGCTGAACATCTATCGGATTACAATCCTAATAGTATGCATTCTGTTGTGTGTTTGTATATATTTCATGTACCTTATTTATTCGATTACACTGCATCAAGTCACAGTAGATGTCAGTTCAAGTTTCAGAAGAACTGAACGTAAAATTGTTTGTATTTCTTAAAAAAAAAAAAAAAAGAGCGGGGATAGCTCAGTCGGTATAGCGACTGGCTACGTACTGGACGACCCAGGGGTCGGATTTCGAGTCTCGGTAAAGTGAAGAATTTTCTTTTCTCCACGTGGTCCAAACGGTTTCTGGGGCCCTCCCAGCCTCCTATGCAATATGTAACGGTGGTCATTCCACGGAGATAAAGAGGCCGGGGCGTGAAGCTGACCACTCACCTCCAACTAGTGCCGAGTTCAATAAAATGTAGATCTATACATCCACTCCTCCATACGCCTTCATGGCGTGGTGCTTCATTAGTTAAACACAGGGACATCTTTACCTTTTTTAATTCTTTGACAAATTAAACCTCTATAGAGGCTTCCATCTAGTGTCAAGGCCAAAAATGGTGGAGCTATACCTCTGCTCCTCAATACTTCTTCATGAGGTGGTGCTTAATTAAGGCTCTGTAACTCTATGCCGGGCCCAACAGCCCGAATTATGGAACAGACTTAACTAAGAACCTGAAGGGGAAAGCTGTGAATTATGTTCCGAAGAAAATTAACACGGAGCAGTACGAAAATAAATTTAAATCTTGTGGAACTATGTCGACGTGAACTTTAGGAAAAGCCGTTATCATCTCACGGGTTTAGTCCCAGATGTGTGGTCGTTTGAATTTGTATTTAGAAATCTAAAAGTCCTCAGCCGGTCACGGTAGCAGAGCGGTCTAAGGCGTGCACTGTCTTCGCTCGCTCGGAAGCCGGGATCGTGGGTTCGAATCCCACTCAGGGCATGGATGTTTGTGTGCGTTTTTCTGTGTTTGTATACAGGTAGAGGCCTTGCGACGAGCTGATCGCTCGCTCAAGGAGTTCTACCGTATGTGTAAGATCTAGAAACCGAAGTGAAACGGATAGTTTCATGGAGGTAGGCCTAGGCCCAAATTGGGGCTGTAGCGCCACAGAAAAAAAAAGAAGTCCTCTGCCTTCCACTTCGATTCTCCACGTCTTCCTACACAACCTAGTCCATTCCATTATGTGTTGGTTTCACTCAAAATTAATTAAATATTTTTTGAAATGTTAGTATCACATTATTAGGAGCGTTTATGTCACAACTCTGAAATTTTATATAATAAACAAATTATTCATTATTCTATATTAGTAAACATGCTTTTGTCTGATTTGCCCTCACCAGCATACTAAGTCGGCGATATAATTTTGGAAAATACAATGCAAAGATTTATGTCAATATGTGGAAAATCAGTTTATCAACATAATTTCCAAGGTTATTCATTCATTCATCAATAGCTCTAAAGCCCTTTGTTGGATCCTGGCGGCGTTTTCAGTCTTGTAATCCTCTACACGCTCGTAGGACTCCTCTGACGGGGGATCAGCCCGTCGCAAAGTCGCTAACTGCACACAGGACAGCACTAACACAAAATAAACGCATATAGATATATATGCTTCAAGTGGAATTCGAAATCACGACCCCAGTGTTCGAGCGGGAGAAGACAGTTCGTACCTTAGACCGCGCTGCACCGTGATCGGGTTTCCAGGGCAACACACACACACACACACACACACACACACACATATATATATATATATAAAACAATATTTGTAAAACCGATAGTATAACATGGTATTGTCTGTCTGAAACATCTTTAAGGGTACGTCATATTTTGAGCTGCCAACCTTACGAAGGAAAATAATGTTTGCTCAACGAGAACTCCGCTAGGGTGACTTCAGTCCTCATCGCATGTTCAAAATAAAGTAGAGTAAATTTCTAGTGGCCGATTACAGTGACCGTGCGGCCTAAGGCATGAACATTTCTTTTTAAGGCGGTATAGGAGTATTTTATAGCGTATTTTGCGTGTAAAGAGTCTATGAAGCTATTTACCTTACTGCCGTAACCGTACAGCCTGATAGGGACCTGCAACAATGTGCAGAACTACAATTTCGTAACTGTGCACGTACATTTTACAGCTTACTGTACGTGCTGGGTGTCTGTGAAGCTATTTAGGTTCCAGCTGACAAGAAAGAGCCTCATAGGACCTACAAGAATGCGCAGACTTGCATTTCTAACTGACCTGGAAAGATGAGGGCTTGCGGAAATATGTGTTACCGTCGCGAAATCACAGTCTGAGAACACCGCCGTAGTTATGCTGTCTGGAATACTATTCCGTATTCCGTATTGAGGGTGTGGGTTTCCCCATGCACTTAGACCGGTTAGTGGTCCATTGTGCGTCCCCCTTTAACTTCTACTGTCTCCATACCCTACCGATACTGGTGCTTACTATCAGCCCCTTTCTGCCAGCAAGGTTCCAACCTCCTCTGGCAGTGGTATCTAATAGTTAGTCCCTTTCTGTCAGAGAGGTCCCCCCCTCCTCTGGCAGTGGTTCCTAATACTTCCCCCATCTACCGGAGGAATTGGAAACTACTTGGGCGGGAAATTTTGCCTAATTTTGCTCAGAGGTCTCCTAGAGACATGAGGTTCTCTTACGTGCCGTAAATCTACGACACGGGACCCACGGCTTAAAGTCCCTCCCGGAGGACTTGTTCCCTGAATTTTTCCGTCCTTAAAAATTCCACGACCTCCGCCGGGTTTTTGAACCCGCGTACTACGAGTCATGAGGTGGGAACGTTACCTCTAGACTACGGAGGCCGCTTTCTGGAATACTAAATATGTTGATAAGGAAAATGAAGGGAGAGGTGGAGGAAAGTAAGAGGAAGAGGAAGAAAATATAGGAGGAGAAAGAGTAGAATCAAAAGAGGAAGGAGGAAAAATGGAGAGGCGCGAAAATTATACGAATGAAGAGGAAGGAAACAAGTAATAAAGGAAGAGGAAGGAGTTAAAATGCAACATGGGTCCTGAAGATGAAAGGGACCATGATACAAACGCTGTAATTCAGTCCATTGGAGTTAAATTTTCTGATAGGAATGAAGTACACTTTGCTGATATCAGCAGTGCTCAGGGTTACTGTCCACTGGCCTAGCCAGAAGCGTCAAATCACTTGTTCACTGTTCAGCTGTTCTTAGAATCGTAAGTTGCTGATGTTCATGGTAAGGCGAGGCGAGAACCGAACAGAGTGTGACGGGAAACATGGCAACCGCACTGCGTATCGCAGTGCCCTCTTGCTCCGCCTCCTGTTAAGGCCAAGCGATAGCTTGCCGAGCGGACGTAACTCCGCAGTCAGTTACAGTGAGTGAAAGGAATAACAGTTAGCTGTTCCGTGTTGGAGACTTGGCGGCCATGTTCTGTGTAAGTACTGACATCCACTGAGTCCTGTTCGGCTCCGAATCCATACTGTTTTATTCTGGGTTATGTTACCGTATAGCCAGGTAGGTGGGTGCCAATCATTGGCTCCATCAAGGCGATGGCAAATTAGGAATCTGTCCACCGCCTGGATTAACTAACTCCATGGATATGAGTCCTTGAGAAGTCAGTTCTTACCTCAACCTCTCGAGAATTCCCCAGTATATTGTAGGGCATAAAGGTTCATTTTAGTGGCCACAAGAGCGCACCACTGGTTCCAATCCGGTTCCAGATGAATGAAGTCCTCAAAAAAATAAAATCGCGAAAGGTGATAATAAACCAAATATATCAATATCCAAAATTAAATTATTTTTAGAGAAATTATTCTTCGGTGCTGGATACTCCGGTGCTATCATTGATATAAACTTAATCTGCTTAATTCTGTAAGCCAATCTCCGGCTTTCCCCACTTCTCCCTACACCGCCCCCCCCACAATGGTACCAACATCTCCATGTTGACTTTCTCATGGCTGTGAATATGGGGAGTACTGTCATCTGTACAATGTGACACTGTGTAGTCCGACAGAATGAATCTATTGCCTCCATTTTCAGGGTACAGGAATATAGATGCAGCAGATTTCTATAGAATTACGCTTTCTACAATAACACGCGGCGTTTCATTTCAGACAACAGTACTGTTCTTTTAGTCTCTATCTTGGGGCGAACTTATGAAGTTTGTAGTAGCTCATAGCCATGCAGTTATTCAAGGAAGACTGATTCTTCATATCACACGAATTTTCATTACCGTGTACACAGAAGTCTGTCACTGGATCCTATTTTGGGACACTACATTTCAGGCTTCACCTTCGCACCATTTTTCAAGACAGGTCTCCCAAATTATTCTTTTGTGTCTGACAAAATCACAAATATATAACAGTATTTTGTGATATGTGGTCTGTGATGTAGTTTAGTTGATAAGTAGAAACGTTTCGAAAAGACCCACCGCCTTCATCTTAACGACAGATGAAGATATTGTCACGTGACTTAGTAACTGTAGACGGGTTTTGGATTGATGACCGGATTTATTGGACTCTTTGATACAGCGCGTGACTACACTTTACATTTCACTGTTACACACGCACACAGTAGTGTCTACAGTCACGTCTTCACTAGCCGTTGCTTGATAGCTGACTAATTGCAACAAAAGTCAAAGTTACTTTACTACTGGCGGTTTGCCTCCAATGCCGTCTTGGCGTCAGGCCTCTTGAGACCCCCGACCAGAGTTTTTTTTTTCAACTGAACTCTTGTGGTAATAGTCCTCATGTAACATCCTCTCTGACGAGAAGATGGGTTTGTCTTTTATGAATACGCTTGGCCTTTCCTCAAGAGTATATTTCTGACATAACATGTTACTGAGAATTCTTCCTTTTGCACTACATACAAGTCATCTATCAGTACAGGTTTTAAAGAGCAGATCATGCCTCACATACATATTTCATGCTACAACGGCAGCTTAGTCATTTGAAAGGTTTTAAGCTTGACCACCGCGAAGTTTAAGCCCCTTATATTTTCTACGTCTGGCTTCGCCTTGTTCTATACCATGAACATGTTCATCTTCATGAATTTATATGACTTCTGCTTGTCGCCTGCACAGTTTTGTTTTATATAACTGCAACAGCTAACTGGCCCTGCTTATAACATCTCGGTACTGACCGCATAGAAAACACAGTTCATCCGTTGCAGTGTAATTGTTGCCGTGGAAACATTCTTGTTTGAAGAGCCATTACAGTTGTATAGTTGCTTTCTTCGCTGTCGTTGCTTAGCAACTGGCCTACAGGCCACAACATTATGCATCAGGGTGTGTCAACTACCTTAAAGTGCGACCAGTCGTTCCGATGACTAGATTTGATGAACCACTGACAACAATGTGCATATGCACACATCCGCTTGTTTATACAAGTACTATAACAATGCTGAAATTTGTCTTTCCGACATGGAAAGTATTAGAAATGCACTTACATATGATTATGGTGACTGGGAGTAGAAATTCGCGACGCATTTGCTACAATATTCCCCTCACTGTGAACTACGTTGTCCTAATTCCTCTTCGCAGATATATTGTATATTTTTGGTACATTATTTAAAAACTCTGACATTATCCAGACTTTACATCGTCGGATTGTAGGATGACGAAGTGATGAAGATTCGGAATTAATCGATCGTGATCTAATCGGGGTAATATCGCAGTATTTCCTTCCAGGAATAGAGTCATCATCAGTAATCTGTCAAGACGACAGGTCCACAGTCTCCTCCAAAACAATTCCTCCACTTAATACGATCTAGAGCTTTCTCCTTCAAATGACAGTATCCTCTTCTGTCCCCAAGGTCATCCAGCATCTTCTTACGTCTTCTTGTCACTTCTATCCGCCCCTCTATCTTTCCTTCAATAACTTCTTTTAGACGGCAGTTTCTGCGTAAAACATGACCAATCCAATTAGCCCAACTTAAATCTTCAGTCATGATACCAAATGTCCCGGTCTGGATTAGAACCCAACACTTCTAGAATACAAGTCTATAGGGTTACATCTAGACAGGGGTCGCGCCATAGCTCAAGCGGTTAGTCACTGGCTTCCCACCGCTGCGGCCCGGGTTCGATCCCGGGTCTGGTCAAGTGGGATTTGTGGTGGACAAATTGGCGCTGGGGCGAGTTTTCTCCGAGTACTTCGGTTTCCCCTGCCAATCTTCATTCCAGCAAATTCTCCATCATAATCTCCCGGGGCAGGCTACAATAGGTCAATCAGTGGCCGACGTGCCGAGTGGACCCAGTTGGACTCCACCCCCCACTAAGAGAATTTAATTTTTTACATCTAGACAAACATATTCGGTGACGTCATGAAGAAAGAATAGCGCTGCTCTTATTATTTGCAGCGTTACAAGTTGGAGACTTCAATGAGCGGTAGAAGAGAGATCCTTTGGGTTTTGTAAAGTTGCCAGTGTGCCAGACGCGAAGATAGAAATTCATAATTTGCTTTCAAATCCTCGTCACCTGGCCGAATGTGTTTAGACTTCCAGTCACAATGAAAATAAACACAATAACCGGCAGTAAGGGCCTAGCTATTATGGTGAGATTCTATAATTATATGAAAGAAATAAAGCAATCAGTAACGTCATGGGTACTGATCGAAATCTTTAGCGAAATGTAAGAACATCCATCAGACTTCATCCCATTCCGTACAACTTAACTCTCTCGATGGATTGGAGTCCTTCTTGAGAAGTCGCCAGTCCCTCAACTACCCAAGAAATTCCGAACATTTATACAACCCGAAAGTTCATTAACGTGTTCACAACAGCCCGCCAATTGTTCCTATTTTGAGCCAGATGAATCCAGCCCATATCCTCCCATCCTACTTTTTATTATTCATTTTAATATCATCTTCATATACACCCGAGTCGGGATAACGCAGCCTGTATAGCGACTGGCTACGGACTGGACTATCGAGGGGTCGGAGTTCGAGTCCCGGTAGGGTAAAAAATTTTCGCTTCTTCAAATAGTCCAGACTGGCTCTGGGGTCCGCCCAACCTCCTGTCCAATGGATACCGGTGGATCTTTCCTCGGGAGTAAAGCGGCCGAGGCGTGAAGCTGACCCCTCACCTCCAACTAGTACCGAGGTCAAGAAAATGTGGATCTATACATCCACTCCCCATACTCCTTCATGGCGTAGTGCTCGATACATTACAAATTATGCTGCAAACATTAAGTCTTCTCCAGCCTGCAGTATCTTCCTTAGACGTTCCCTGGCAACGGCTTCTAACAGTGGAGATTCTTCAGCTTCCCAAATTCAGGCCCGTCCTTCACAGACTACCGTACAGAACTGCTTCAGCAAAGTCACAGTCACATTGAGACTAACGTTCAGTCAGTCAATAAGTCTTGGTGTCCAGCCCATCTGGGGCTCATGACCAGATATTTATTTCAATTTGACAGTTACGGTCTTGTTTCTGTGGAGCGCCCTTCTCTGACGAAAGCCTGCCTGTTTCAGCCTGCCTGAGGACTTCGTTAAATAGCCTGAAAGAGGACTCAACAGAAAACACCGCTTCCAGCACTTTCTCTATTGTTATGGACGGTTGCCTAGCGATAGCCCGGACATGGTTGACATGTTTACCAGCCGCTACCAATCAACGTATATTCCTTCTCGCTATCGTTGCATAGCAGCGGTACTCCACACTACATTATCTTTTGCGTGTGGGATTAATTGATAATTATTTAACAAGTGCTGGAAACTACAGATTTTTTCTTCGAAGCCTCCCCTAGTGACGGTCACGAAAAAAACATATAGCATCGTCCATTTCTCGAGTAAATAGATTAGTGCCGTCTCATTTCTTAGAACAACAACACACAGATTAAACAAAAGCAACTAACCTTCAACTTGCTTCTGCACTTTGTCTGCGGGGAAAACTGTCCGACCGTTTACCTTCACATATTCCATCCCTCCTCTTCCCGTATCAGTCTCACGGAGAGCCGCACGAAGGACGCGAGTAGAATAATAGTTGTGCTTTGACTCTCTCTTTAGTGATTCTGGACACGGAGCTCAGGAAGCGAACAGATGGATGAGACCTGTCTGTCTATCTATCGGCACGCTATCCTTCCGAACATATTACAGACATTATGTATGGTTCTGGACATTATCCATCGTCATGTTTTTATTCAAAATACATCGTTTCCCAGACTGGATTTGGTTTATTAAGCTAAACTCTACCCATTTCACAGATAGGGACTAGCTCTATCGATTGGGTCCAACTGACTAGATTTGTTCTGAAGACGGATATGTAATTTAGTCTCCGAAACGCTGTGTCTTAAATAAAAGAGGGACGGTGTTTTAAATATAATCAAGACGATGGATGATGTCAAGAAATATAATATTCGTATTAATTGCACCATCGTTACCTTGCCGAACATATTACTGAAGGGATTTTCATAAAATTCCTTTCGGGAAATAGTACTGATGATAT